CGAGTGATCCAAGCTCATGCGGAGTTTCCTAGGAGGGAGGGACAGAGGCAGCCAAGGATTGTCTCAGTTTGAGGGGAAAACACACAAAAGCTGACGAGGAAAGTGCTAATTTGTATTTCTAAAGCATGGACTTGGGCGACTCCCTCGTCTGTCTGCTCTTTGCATAATATTGATGGTTTGCTCTTTGGCCAGTAGTGTAATGGGAGAGGGTTTGGTACTTAAACGCCTTAATTAGATATGAAAACAATTAGAGAAGTCTGTTCTCTTCTGGCATCCGCAGGCCTCGGCGCAGATAGAAAACGGGGCAAACCCATCCCATTCTGTCCGAGCTGTTTTGGAAGCTTCGCAGATGAAGGGAAGACAGCCCAACTGGAACGCTGCGCCATCGTCTGAAGAGACGCAGGAGAGTGCAACTGCAGGACAATTACGAAGGATTAATAATTGCTTATGATGGCAAAGCGGGCCCCAAGGGAGCCACGCTGCTGCTCAGACACAGGCTCGAGTTCTCCAGAGGAAAATACACACGCAGTCCTTCCGCAGCATCTCCACAGAGGGGATGCCAGAGCCAGCTTATAGAGAAAGGCTGGGGAAGAGGAGAGCTGGGTCAGGAGATGACAGAAAATGGCTTGCACTGGAGTTTTGGGGGGACAAACACAAGAGGTGAGCTTGAGCCAGCCCTTCCAGGTAGGCAGAAACACTACAAAAAGGGTAGATACACAACACAATGAATGAGGGAAAATAAAAGCTTGATCAAGGAATAACATGAAAATGTGCCAACAGATACAGACTGGAAACTGATGGGGTGCTTTTGGTGACTTGGCACATCCCAGATCCCGTTTTTCTTTGTTGCTGACAACTCCACACAAATAAAACCCTTCCCTCCCACCCCCAGCGTCCTCCAGCTTTGACCAACTCCATGTTTCTTCTAGGAATCCACAGCACACAGTCCAGCAGCAGTTTCCAAAGCAGCCAAATAGGATATGCAAAAGTTTACAACCAGTTTCAAGTCTTTTGGTGCAGCTGGGGATGTGGACCTATTTTTTAGGGAGAAATATTTGTCCTACAGTCTATGGAAACACGGCCATCTACCGTGTTGGTTTGCAGAGCGCCCCAGTTCACACAGGTCACCAGGAAGCACATATCACATCCCTCCGTTACTGGGCTCATCTTGAAGCGTTTCACCAGATGGCAGCTTTAAAGGAAACCGGTTGGATTCATTTACTCCATCCCCATCCTTCTGCAGCGATGCACCGATGCACATCCAAGGAGAGCTTGACATTTATTAATGCTTCAAATGTTGACGCCTGAGAATTTGGGGCTATTTCCTAATGAAGTTGTCAGATTTGCTGCCTAAGCAATCTAGAAAGCTCGATGCTGCCTTTTCAGCAGTCCATGTTTTCATCAACTCTCCTTAATTTACATGACGAAACACATCTATTTCCATACCCTCCGTTATTGGGCTTATCTTGAAGCGTTTCACCAGATGGCAGCTCTGAAGGAAACCGGTTGGATTCATTTACTCCATCTCCATCCTTCTGCAGCGATGCACATCCAAGGAGAGCTTGACATTTATTAATGCTTCAAATGTTGACGCCTGAGAATTTGGGGCTATTTCCTAATGAAGTTGTCAGATTTGCTGCCTAAGCAATCTAGAAAGCTCGATGCTGCCTTTTCAGCAGTCCATGTTTTCATCAACTCTCCTTAATTTACATGACGAAACACATCTATTTCCATACATAAGCACGTCAACAGTGTTTTTGAAGGCAGTGAAATAAGTCTCAGACCAACAAAACTATTCAGGTATAAATCCACTTTTAATTGTCAAGCTAACTTCTAGCTCCTACATTCAATGCAAGGATCAGAAACCACAAGTCTGAGAGCAGAAGTTCATTCTACCCCCAGTCGCTGATCGTTTTGGCAGCTGTCAAAAGGTAACTTCCAGAATCCACTCGTTTCAGAAGCTTTTCACCACCTCGCGGCTCCAGGTGAACATCCCGGACTGTCTTTAACAGCCATCGACATCTTCCAAACCCAGTTCTTTGGCAACAGTTACACATAGCATTGTGCGTATATAAAGAGCTTATAATAAATCTTCTTTTACATTCTAATTGTCTTAACCTTCACAGAAGTATTAAAGTGCTCAATCAACTCGGAACAGACTCTCCTTCCCTAGTCAGCCTACTTCCTGGAAACGCTTGTACTTAAGTCAGCAAACCCAGAAGCAAACAAGAAGAGAAAAGGTACTTGTATGAAAAAAACCCTTTGCAGGAGTATTACAACCCCTTACGAGCCAAGAGGCCTCAAGTCTCACTTCTCCCTTCTACCCACACGTTGAGACACGGGTCCAAAATGTGCAACCAGCCTAAGCCAGCACAACTGGGCCAGTTTCCCACCAGTTGATTCTTTGGCCACTGACTTGTGTCGAAAAAAAGCCCCTGCAAACCAGAATCCTACTGATGCTACAGAGAAAAGACGAACAGTGAAGTCATACTGGTAAAGCAACAGCAACAAAAGACACGAACAAGAGTTGTGATGGATATTTAACGCCTCAGTTATCTGGATTTTGTGATCTGTTAGCAACACCTAACACCATCTGAAATCAAGGCTTTAAGTGTGGGCATTTTTGGCCTAAGTGAGGGGATGGAGGGTACATCTCAGAATAATTTCCTCTGTGCATGCCACTTCACCCCACTATGCTCTGAGTCAGAGGAGACCTCAGTTGGGGTCTCTGCTCTTCTTCAAAGAGGACCAGAGCCACATCCTCTTGTGTGCATCCCCGCCCTCCTCCAGCCACAGCATCCACAACACGATCTAAGCATCCCACAGGGCGACTTCTACCTGCCAAGAGCTGAGACACCAGACCTGCAACCCCAGGGCACGTGTGTGTTTAACAGCTTATTCAACCACAGGATGATGCTTTTCACTCCACCTTTGGTTAAACCTTTTGACATCCGTGGGAAAAGCACATTATTTAAGCACCACCAGGCCCTTGCACTCCCCGTCTTACGACGGGTACTGAGCTGTTTGCCGTCACCTTTTTCTGTTGACTGAAGATCAGACATACTTCTACCACCTCCGCCTTTGCGCTGCCCCGAAATCCTGTTTGCTGACTGCTCGCCCCGTCTCCACACATAGACCTCAGTAACAGCCATTAGAGATCTCGCCACAGAAGTGACTCAAAAGCCAGGAAATGTTGACAGAGGTGATCAGAAACCACACAGATTTACACCGGCTGTCACACCACGTATCAGACACGGTGTGAGTTACCTCTGCTGCCCCCAAGACTGACTGAAAGCCAAACATGTGGTGATACCTGCTTGGATGTACTGGAGCACTCCTCCTGACCATGAGACTTCTCAGCAGTCCCACAGGAAGGGGTTGGTGCAACGTGAAGGTCCTGCTTTTAAGGTCACACGATGCTGTTTTGCTTGCTAAAGCTGAGGGCTTTGTGATTGCTCAGGGATATATAAACCATGGCCATGCTCTTGGGAACACTTACTGCTCTCCTCCATCAAGTATGAATGAAAGATGAAGAGTTTTATACGAAAATAAAAATGTAGGTTGTTTTAGATGTGTTTTAAAGCCATAGGCAGCTACATTATGATTAAATACCATCTGATATTCAGTGCAAATAAACCAAAACTTCAGTGGAGCTTTTGACCCAATGCCTTCCTCCCTCATCACAGAGCTGCTCTTCCTCATCACGCAGAGGACATCCAGTCAGTAGGGCATGTGCTGATCAACCCTGCACCATTTACTGGGCAAGCAATTGGTTAGAAACACTTCCCTGTGCTAATAACATATTTGCATATCACTCTTCTTCCCTCATTTCTACCGTTTTGAAAGTTCATTTTCTTCAGAGGTCCACATTTTTCTTAACGCTTCGGCTGTGAATCCGTAGTGTGCAGCAAAGGGCAAGCACTGAACTAAAGGGCAGCTTGTTTCACAGTACTCCAAGTAAGAAAACTGACCATAGTACAAGCAAAATTAAATAAACTGAAGTATCAAAGACAGCAGAAGTTAGATTCATCCAGAAATATAATATAATGTCTGGGAGTGGGGAAAACTGGAGAGTAGCTACAAAACGGAAACAATGAAATGACCAACAAATATTGAGCAGGCGGAAGAGGAAAACTTTCATTGCATGCTGTACATTAAAATTAAACGCAAAATTCACACGTTGGGAGCATCAGGAAAGAATGATGAAGGTCTCAAGCCATGGGAAGACGAAAAGCAAAGGAACACCTTGAATAAAGCAGCACATGAACAAAACCAGCAACTGAGCAGCTTTCAAAAGAAAAGTGACCGTATCTCAAACGAGAAAAAGCAGCACTGAAGCAGAGGACAAGTACATGGTCAAGACATCACGGGTAACACTGACTGCACAGAACACTTCTGAGATTTTGAAAGAATCAGGCCTATTTGTATATCTATGCAAAATATATACACAACTCCATATGTATATATGTACACATAGGCACTACTGTACATATGTATAACGCGATCATTAACCCAACTGCCCTTTGACAAGTTTCAGCATCTGAATCTGGGTGCAAGCAACAACGCTGCAGTTGTGCAAAATTGCTCTTCTGTGTTCGATTACCAAGAAGTAACGGCAGAAAAATCCAAAATCATTCCCAAATAGCTTAGACCCAGATGCAGTTTCATCATCATCACCACGTGAGCCCAACCTCTGAACATTTCCAGCTCATTGGTAGGAATTAAATATTCATCCAGAGCTGTGGATTGTATCAGGACAAATTATATCTGTTTCCAACCCTGCTAATCTGAAGAGATGGCCAGACACCTCTCCTGACATCAGTGGTTTAGCATGAGGCCATCCCACCCAGGATACCAATTTGGGAATAGTAGACGCACAGGAAAATGAATTCAAAGGCTGGAACAGGACTGTCACTCGGTAGAAGAAAGGTCAGTTTCTGTCTTTATAGTGTTTTGGAAGAAAGGGACACGGTGCATTAAAAGGAAAGATTCCCCCACCCCTCAAACAAGGGAACACACAACAACTCTGAGAACGCATGCTCCAGCTGCACGGACATGCTGATCTTTGGGGTTTCCAGTTTTGGGATGTGGAAAGTAGCATTTCCATAAAGCTCACGGCTCCAAAGAGCATCGGCCTCCCAAGTCCAAGGCTGTTTTGGTCTGACACTTCAACGCTCGACTGGTCTTTGCTATGTGTGCATTACCAATGCTGTTTTAGAGCAGAAAGAAAGTGGTGAGAGAAAGAACTGCAGAGAGATTGTTCTACGCCTCAGCAAAGCCTCCTTCCAGCTCCAAAAGTGCTGTCCTCGCTGCTCTGCATGCAGAGGACCCCGTTTAGTGCTCGGCATCCATAGCATCCAAGTACTTGGCTTCGATGATCCTAGGGAGCAGGTTATACCTAGGATTGAACCAGAGAGACAGCGTTAGTGCTTGTTTTTATTCAGGCAACGTTTTGTTTGCCTGTCCCAAGACTCTCAGTTGAGTTTGTCCATGGCCACGCATGCAGATTCACCCAGGAGAAAGGGAGATGAAGTGGGGGAAAGTAAAAAACAACCAATCTTGCAAGCAAATACAGCACTTGTAGGAATAACAGTGAGGTCCTCCTCCTCCTGGAAGAAGCCTCCTCATTGAAGGACAAATATCCTCATAGAAGATAAATCGTTTTCCTAGAGCACTCTGTCAGTAAAAAGCTTTAGAAGTGCCAAAAATATGCCACCTTGCCTGATCCACAGCTATGCCCCTGCAAAAGCTTCTGCTGCCTCCAGTTTGCTAGCAGGTGAGGTACAATGCTAACAAGCATCATTTATTTCTAGCTTCTACTTTCCTCACCACTTTCCCTGTAGTTTCCCAACACACAAACCCCACCTGATGCAGCCTCACAGCCATCAAAATGCTGCCAACACCTGGCATTGAGAGCTCACCGGAGAAATGTTCCTCTAAATTTACAGGGCTGGCTCAAAGACCTGCACACAAGGGTTATTTGTCTTGCATTTCCTCAGTTCTCCAAGTCGCCCCTTTCCAGCTCTCCCACAAAGCAGCCTTAACACATCCCAGAAGCTTTGGTCTTTAGAGCAGTGTCAAATATATCAGACTCGAGGCCATTTGCTAAGCAGGGCTGTGCCCTTCGTTCCTCCTTCCCTACCTGGAGTCTGGTTTCCACCAGATCGTGGAGACAGTAATTCCCACACTTCTGTTTTTATTTGTTTGTTTCCAAGAACATCCTAATGAATTAACATGTTTGGATGAGAAAGGGAAGGCATTGTAACAGTATGCTGTGAAGTCGCCCTCATTAAATCCTACCGCATATTTAGTTTGACACTTCTCCTCGCCTAACAAAGAAGCTATTCTGCAGCTGATAAAATAAGGCACAAAGCACTAGAAAAGACAGTGTGGGACTTGGAAGAGCCTTTTCAATAGCTGTGCAAGAGATCCCAAACAGCACTTACTACTGAGAAGTACCAGGATCCACTTAAAGAAACCTGTCATGAAATAAAACGCTTGAGAGCCGTGGGAGCACAGATAAGCATCACAGAGAACTTGGAAAGGAGATTCTCCCTCCCCAAGCAACCTTAACCTCAGTACTCCCCAGAGCAGCGATTAGAGAGTAACCAAAAACGGGTCACCCCAAAGCTCTGAACCAAAGCCAGGAACTGGAGATACCCAAAGCGATCACATTTTCTCCCAACAGGCTGTTCTCCGCTGCAATAATGAGAAGCCATTGAAATCCGTTATCTTTCACACGAACACTGCACCAGTGGAAAAAGATGGTCCCTTATCGCTGACAGTGAAAGTCAAGCATCTAATGCTGTTGGGCAGATGGAAGTGTGGCTTTGAGACAGACGAGGAACATGGCTGGTTTTCTGGATGGGACACTTAACCATGACTCACTGATCCGTGCTTGATTCTTGTCTTTGACCCCTGGCTACTCTCCCACCTCCTCTTCCTCCCTTCACTTCTTAAAAAAAGAGGGAGAAAACATATTTCATTCCTTCTAAGTCTGTCTCATCTATTTACAGTGCCAAATCTTTGTGAAACAGTCGTCGTTAACTACAGAGCTCATGCATCACGGTGCCGTGTTCTCAGCTGGAGCCCACAGAAACCACATGAAGGCAAAAGAAACGAGAGAAAGGAAAGCCAAGGGCAAATCTCAGTATTGTGCAGCACTACTTTCACCTTAGCAGCAGGGCTGATTATCCAGCTACTAGAAATAGCTGCCCTGGAAAGAGGAAAGGAGTTAGCAACAGAGCTAGTGTAAGATGACTTATTTACTCAAAAGATGACATATTTGCACCACTGAAGTATCGAGCACTTATAGCAAAGTCAGGTTCTTAGACACAGCACTCTCCTCACGCTAATCTAGCTCATTACACTACATCCAGTACTTGAATGTTTGGCAAAGCGTGTCTCACGTTTTCTTTCCTGTACCGAGCTGCTCTGAGCAGACTTGCAATTCCCACAAGAGTCGCTCATCCAGCCCTGCACGCAGTCCAAGTATTTACCAGGCACTTAACCAGTCATCCAAAGCGACGCCGATGTGAAGGCTGGGTGAGAGACTCTTACCGTAGGAACAATAATTCCAGTGTTTTCCAATATTTTGTTTGTCTTTAAAAATCCAGCCCAAATAGCTCTAACCTGACCCTGTTGAAAGCTACAATAGTTTTGACATTTGCTTTAGAAAGAACCGGAGCCATCTTCATCACCCAAGGAAAACACCACAGTAGCTGCCTTGGGAGACTATCACATTGGTAGCCCTGGACTTGGAGATTAGACAGAAAAAATCTCTGAGACTGCAAGGTCAAGGACAAACAGATATCACTGGATGCTGTGCTGGCCTAAAAATAATCAACTGGACTGAAAACAGAGCTGTTCCTCCCAAGATCTTATTATGGCTTCTCATTATAACCAAAGGAGGGAGAGCATGAATGATTTAACCAAAGAATGATGGGCAGTCACTGTTAATGAACATTAGGGAAGAAATTAGTTTAATTTCTCAATTATTCTCTCTCAGGACTGAAAGACATTGTAGGGTCCTCCCAGTCTTGAAGATACATTTTATGACTACATGTGGCCAATTTGACCTAACTGATCATTTGCAATGATATTCAGCAGTGCAGGTGGTCTGTAAGGTCACAAGAGCACTGGATAAGAGAGAAGAATTCCTCTCAGGAAACATTTCCAGCTCTGCTTTGAGCACAGGCCTTAGGAAATTGAATTGCAGAGCAATAAGGAACATTATCAAGTGCCTAGAGGGAAGGCTTAGACTACAGCTCCTCAGGAGGATCAGGCATCTCACAAACTGCAAGAGATTTATTTTCCTCTCCGACAGCTGTGAGAAAACCACCTGCCAGCCCAGAACCCTTGGCAGAACACCCAGCAGCAGTGAAATCACAGGCTCTCTGCACTATTGCTCCTCAAACCTGAGCAGCTGGTGAAGAAGAGGTCACTACCACCCACATCCAAGATCTGGCTACTCAGGAAAGTACCAGATACCCTCCTAGACCACTCGGACTTCCTGCAGCCCAACCTTGAAGATGAAAGGCGTGGGAGACAGAATTAAAAACAGCCAAGCTTTGCCTGGAAGAGCTTCGTACCTGATAGGGATCATCCCTATCATGATGAGTGGGAAGATCATCTTCATGTAGGGCAGCGGTGACATGCCGAAACCACAGAGGATGAGGAGCTGCAGGACCTGCAAGCCTGTGAAATAGTGGATCTTCCTCTGGGGCACTCTGCGGATGTAATGTGTCGGAGGATAAGCAGTCTGGGAAGAGAAGAATTACACGTTAGATACGCAGTGACCCGGACTTGTGACTGCAGAATGTGGCTTTTAAGGAAGTCACCAATTTACAATCACAGCGCACCCACATCAGAGTCCTTCACAGGTTCAAGAGCTGAACGCAGGATTTGTAGGGTTAAAGCAAGTGCCTTCAACCACAGCGCTGGCAGCAACACAGAGAGGATGACTGGGCACTAGGAAGACACCACACAGCGAATATTGCCTTTGGGAACATCCGGAGTGCAATAAAATATCTTGATAAGTACAGTAATGAGATTCCCCTGAGTAGGATTATCAGGGCTTTGCAGCAACATGTGATGGGGTGAGGGTAAGCAGATGCATTGAGGTGTTGTTACTGCTGGGTGGTTTCTCCACCAGGTTTTTTTCCCTGGTGGTCCCATTTCTTGGCTGAATCCCGGCAGGGGAAGACCAGGAGATGGGTCTGGGGAATCACAGGAAGCAGCTGTAACTCAGAACTGCAGTGATTTTTCCCGACTCATGTAAGCTATTCATTTTTGAGAGATGGGGAAAAAAAGTGACATTAATAGGCTAAATATCACTCGTGGTTTCTTTTCACAGCTCCCTGCCCATGTCTGAGCACAGGCTTTGACTCACTGTCTATACATCAATGAAGAGCATGAGCGACTGTCTGCTGGCACCGATACAGACTCAATGGATTTCAGATTGCGCCGTGACTCATTAAAAGGCTTCCAGAAAAGGGAGATCTCCATATTTGAGGACACTTTTTAATTTTCCAAACCGAAGCCTGGAAAATTCCACACATAATTTGTCCTAAACCCACAAGTAACACACCACATAGTTGTATCAGTAACTATCCAATCCGCCTTCAAAAATTGATATGACAAATGCAATCTTTACCCGGATCGCACAGTTTTAACCTCTGGGATGTAATATTAGAGATCAAGATAGATTAGCAGAGATGCAGAGCCAAATGTTGGGTTTATTAAGCCCTTTACCCTTGGTTGCATAAGAGAAGGTGAGCTGGAAACTCCTTCTTGCTCCCAGGTACCGCCCACGCTGCCAGCCAACACATTCTTACCACTTGTAATACAGATGGGCTTGAAAACACATCTTCCAGATTTGTTTTCATCCCACATCAGAAGGGTTTCAATAACACAAGTAATCTCATTTTGAGTCTAAAATCCAATCTCGTGGTGTTTCACACAAGTCAAAATGAAAGTGTAAAATATAACAAAGCTTCAGAGCAGGTAATTTTTTGCTGGGGAAAGCAAAGATTGCCATTTACTGGCATTACACATGTGCTTTTAGATAATTTTAAAAATGCATCTACTCTGCAGCTGACATGACATGCACAGGGGGTTTTTAAAACTTCCAAACACCCTATATTCAGTGAGCAACACTTTGTGCAACTGGATTTTTTTATAAAGCCATTGTTTGATTGTATTTTTGGTTCGTGCTCAACATAATTTACGGGCTATCTTCACCGGTAGCAGCTATCCCAGCTCCATCCATGCTCTCATCTTTGTCTCTGGAGAGCTGGTCTCCAGAGCAATTCTTAGCAGACTGAAAAGTGAAGGATTATATCCAAGACACTGCTCTGAACAAGGAAGCTAAAACACTTTTGTGGCAGGGAAAAGCAGAAAGCGATTTATGCAGAATTTGAAAGACAAACGAGATGCAGCACAATTCTATGAACAATTTAGCTACCCTCTTTTTTTAAACCCAACAATAACCACGCCACTTTTCTTTTCTGACACTGCGTTATTCTCCCATTCGTTTGTCTGCTTTAATGGAAAAGATTTCTCTTGCTTGTGTCTCAGTGGCAAAGCCAAACTAGAGACATCAAGTTTCACTCCCACTTTGCATAGAAAGGTGAAAGATGCAGCCAAAGCATTGGTTGGAGCTGGAAACCAGTCCCATGAGAAGATGAGTTTTGGGGGTAACCCCATTCCCAACACCAGCAGCTTCCCACATTAGGGAAAATAGGGTTGTGAATACAATTTCCTCCGTTTCACCAGACTGGTGCCCCAGTCTCTGTACCTGTTCCTTGAGCAGGAGAGCCACCCTTTCAAAGAGCTGGTTCCCATCAATGGAGGTCAGCGCGATGTAGAGGAAGAGGCCATAGAGGACTGGTTTGGGGATCCACTGGAGAGGGAAAGGAAGGAGCAGGAGCGAGAGGCCAACCAAGAAGTTTGCCACTAGACTTGTCAGCCGGGTCTCCTTCACGCTCACAATCCTGAAAGCGAGAAAACAGGGATTAGGGGAGCAGGATAACATCCCAGTATCCACGTAAGCTTATCGCTGGGGCTCACTTCTCTGCGGAGGCGCAGGACACGTGCCGCTTGGGAAAGGGAAACTCATCCCCACTGCACTGAGATCAGCACTTCTGGCCCCGCGCTGACACCGAGAAGGCAGAGCTCCGCTGGACCCGGGCCAGGCACTTAATCCACAGCTCAAACACAGCAGCTGGAAAAAGGCCAAATTCCCCTTCTGCAAAGCTCCACGCATCCCATCCTGAACTAAATTGCCCTCTAAACTAATTCTGTTGAGCACATTGAAAATAAAAGAGAAAAAACCAAACCAAAACACACCACAAAAACAAACTCGGGCAAGAATCCTCTTTCTGAGCAGTAATCCTTTCCTCAATTTGCCCAGTGCATATGCAATTGGCTTTCATCCAAAAGAAAACTCATTGACTTCTACAGGAACTAATGAACCTCTTGTAAAAAAATGTCTTCGACTCCACTGCGAGTCAGCATTTTTGATGCAATTGAGGATCTCCTTGTTTATATGGAAGGGAATGCTGAGAGCACTATGCAGGGAGCTAGGAATTTAGTTCTGCTGTGGGTAACAGCAGTTGCACTGCAAATTGCTTGTTACCATGCAAAACGTGGGATTAATTAATGCAGATTTGCCAGAGCTGACAGACTAGAGATTGATTTTGGTTTTTATGGGAGAAGAAAGACGGACAGGAAAGCATGCGGCAACTTTCAGAGCCTACATGTGGGGTGAGGGGAGGTTGCTTTTATTTTCCCTTTAACTAAACCTGAGCTCTTAGTATAGTTCAAAAAAAAAATACCAGAGACAATAGGAGGAAAGAAAACCCTCCTCTTCCAAGACTACTTATAAATAGAGAAAAGGGAGATTTCTTTATGTAAGTTTTTTGAGAAGATAAATCTACCAGTTCAGTGGATAAGCTAGTGAGTAAATCCCTCTGTTATCAGGAGAAATTCTTGTCCACAGGCTGTTTTGGTCTCATTTGGTGACCTCATTCCCTGGATATGAGACCTCATATTCCGAATTAACCCTGTATACAAAACACTCTGAGGATTAACACAAGAGCCAGCCACAAGATGGATCAAAACACATTTCCCTCTTTTACATATGCACTTGCTGGGATGTCGTAACCCCTTCTGTCCTAAAGAAGATTGCTTCTCAGTGAATTCTTTCAGTATTAAGTTTTTTTAGAGTCTTGCTTATAAATAAGGTCAGGTTGAGCTTCAAATTCGGTTACACATTCAAGAGCATAATAAAGCTGTGAGGATGAAGGAGCCTTCCACATCTGTGTTAAGAGAGAGGGGGAAATGATAACAGCCTAAGGCTTGCCCTCAGGATTTGGATAACGTGGCAGAGTTAACACGACCATTCATGAGACCTAAAAGACAAACAGCCCACCAAGTCCTGGTGACAACACCTGAATGCCTTGGTGAGTAGCAGGGCAGGCGGTGTGTATTATCCAGGATTACCAAGGATTAACACGACCATTCACGAGACCTAAGAGACAAACAGCCCACCAAGTCCTGAGGACAACACTTGAATGCCTTGGTGAGTAGCGGGACAGGCGGTGTGTATTATCCAGGATTACCAAGGGAGAATGCACAGGAGAGACACAGGAGGTGTTAACCTTCAAGAAACCTCTGGGTAGGTTTAAACAGCAGAAACTCCAGCTTTCTTCCTTCCAAATTGATTTTGTTCATAACAAAAAAAAAAGCATTTATGTGATTTCAAGCAAAAAAAAAAAATCAAACCCACTGCTGGGGATACTCAGAAACTCCAAGCACTGGTCTGAGCAGGCACAAGTCTGTTGGGTTCCTTGCGAGCAAGCAAAGTCATGCAAACCAAACAGCAGAAAGTCCAGCTTTCTTCCTTCCAAACTGATTTTGTTCATAACAAAAAAAAAGCATTTATGTGATTTCAAGCAAAAAAAAAAAATAAAAACAAACCCACTGCTGAGGATACTCAGAAACTCCAAGCACTGGTCTGAGCAGGCACAAGTCTGTTGGGCTCCTTGCGAGCAAGCAAAGTCATGCAAACCAAAGAGCTTAGATATGAAGCCACTAGATTTCAACCAGATGCAAGGCTGCAAGTACAAGAGCAGCTCAGAGTAGCAGCCCTTTGGTAAAGGGTTTTTGGAGCTCATGAAATCCTCTGCCTGTTGTCTCCTGGGGATGCAGCAATCACAGCACTGAAGAGTGTTTAATCACACACAAGATGTACTGCAACTACTATTGCCAGCTCCTGCTAATGCCACTTATTAAAGTCGTTTGGAATTTCTTATCAGAACATCATTAAAGTTGCTCATAATTGACCATATTTGAGATCATTAAAGTTCCCAGTCTCGGCTGGTCCCAGAAGACCAACACTGCCAATTTCTGCCACTTCTGGCATCTTATTAACTATTACCATTGCCATTTCTGGCGTCTTATTACATCTTATGACATCAAGAGCAGACACATCAAGTCAAAAGAAGAAATCTGGTAATTTGCATGTGCTCAGAATCTGGTTTGGCCCTTGAGGAAACAGCCCCAGAAAACCTGCGCTGAAATGGAAACCAAGTAATTAATGGAGATTAAAGAGCATAAACCAGGCTCATTTCCCCAGAATTCTTTAAAGGCAGCTAGCACAAGATGAGCCATTCCCAACCTCCTCCGTGTGAATAATGAGAGCCTATTTGAAGATTGCCACATGAAACTCAAGTGCTTACTCTACAGGGGAGAAGACAAATTTGCTCTCGTTGTGACAGATCTTTATTCTTGTTTGTATCATCGTCCTCACTGAGAGCTTTGATTCAAGCAGAAGAAAGGAGCCTGCCAAGGGAGCCAGCACTGAAAGAAATCCTGATTTTCTAATTGAGCTTCAGTACATTTTTCAGAGGAGGAAAAAAAAAAAGAAAAGAGAAAAGATGACAACATTGCTGGGAGCCTCCTGTTTATAGCTCAGTGCTTCGCACAGAACAAAAAGCTCCAGTCTCAAAGGGAGTTCAAACAAGCAGGAAATCCTCGTTCCCAATATTCAGTTCACAGCACACATTTACGTAGGGATTTGCCTCCAGCAGAGGCAGAGCTGTGCCGTGAAGGAACAGGCAGTGAGATCAGGGCATCCCTCAGCACATTCAGGATAATCACTGGAGCCATATCTAGGTTAGCGCGGCCAAAAAGGGCTCTCCAATGCTCTTTTTGGGCAGCTGGGTGAAGGAGGCAGGACAAGGGTAGTCCTCAATTCAGGCAGGGGATTTGACTTTCAAGGAGAGGGCAGAATAAAGACAGGCAGTGGTAAAACAGTAAAAAGCCACCAAGTATTTGAATCGATAACAGAAAACAGAGAAGGGAGCCTTGGCACATGGACTTCAAAGGCTCAGCTCTGCATCTCCCGAAGAAATGGAGAGTAGAGGTGTCCCAGAGCAGACCATGGTCACCAGGAGCAAGAGCATGGACTAAAACCCTACAGAACTCAAGTTACAAAGCTGATGTTTTGAAACAGGGTTTAGATTTATTCAAAAGGGATACAGGTGTGGGAACAACTAATACCAACACACACTAATGGGAATACGAGCTCAAGGGACTGATCTCAGCAAAGGTCTGTAAAAACATTATGGGGAGCAACCAGGACCCAGCAATATCCAGGTGTAGCAGGTGAAATCTGTCCATTGCTGACCCAAAAAGCAGCTGGGCCAGGTTGGGCTGGGCCAGCTTGCACCAAAACCAGCATGAAGGCAAGACCGAAATTAAGAGGCAGACCCACTCCATCCCCAGAAGTAAATGAGCACTTCAGCCTCCCTTTTGACAAGTGGCAACTCTGAAAAAGGAAACTAAGACAGGATAATTAAAACTAATGGCATGCGAGTGGAAATTACCACTTCTGAGGCAAAAGCACTCAACTATAACAAAATGAGATCAAACAGACCAGATAATCTCTATTCCGGAGCAGGTTTCTAAAGAAATTATTTTTTTAATAAAACTTAAAACCTAAGTCTCTGATAAGACTGTGTTGGACAACTCGGAACAGCAAAAAACTCGGTCTTAAATAGAAAGCCGTGACCCGGGCGTGGCTTCACAGTTGCTTTTGCTTAAAAACAAGATAATTTAATCAGCTTCACGCCTTCGTGAAACCTTTGTGGTAGAAGATGCTATGTGAGCTCTGAAATAATGCTGCATTTTTCCTACCCTTTGTAATAACCACCAGACAGGTTTCAGAATCAGACTGGATTCCTTCTGGTGAAGACAACTGGAAAGACCCAGCCAAAAGCATCTCCTCAGCTTTCCACAGGGATAAACCTAAAAAAGGCCTTGGCCGACACTTCCAAAGTGTGTTTTTCATCGGAGAAGGCCGAGTCCAAGCAGGCTGCCCCCAGCCACTGATAAGAGCATTAACTTGTGGCTGTCCTATAACAAGCGCTTTGATGAAGGGGGATGAAGCCAGGTCACAGGCCATGCTGGCTGAGATGACTTCATTTGGTGCATCTCCCCTCTACGTTCCCATCTCGCAGGTTTTCAAGACAACAGCTAGCTCCCCTTTACCCAAAGCATTAGGAAACCACAAATGAACTCAAACAGATCCAAGACAGCTCTGCAGTTCCTACTCACGTCTCGTAGATGTGTCCGTTTTCAACCCTCTCCTCCACGTAGGCCAGGGCGCGGACGTGCATTGGAGAGTGAGGGAAAGCAGCATGGATCCACGGGAGGCCAAAGACCGAGAGCCCCGTGTTAATCAGCGCGACGAGCAGGAGGTCCCAGTGATACGCTGTGCCCTTCACCAACCTGAAACGAGGTGTTTGTTGGCAGCAGTTACGCCCGGTGAAAACTGTAACAGGCTGCCCTTGCTGAACCCGAGCTCCAATGCTAAACATTGCGGTGCATGTCCACGCACAGAGCGATTTCACGCTCCTCCTGCTTTACAGCTTGCGTTACGTGAACGTGAAAGGTAATGAAACACGACAGTTTGCTCCCAGAGCAGTCGTCTCCTGGGAAGGATGATGCTGAGCAGAAAGGCAGCCCACTAAAATAACAACAGCCCATGAAAGTTTCCTCAGTGTTTTGCTGCCGCGTTTATTGCGGAGTCCACTCAAAATGTACACGTATAGCTGCTGGCAGAGTCCACATGGGGAGCAGTAAGAAACCCGGGCATGGGTTGCCAAACTACCGACACTGAAGTTTCCCCACTCATCTTGTTTTAAACCCTGGTCTCCCTCCTTCCCCACGAGCAGAACACGTGCCTGGCATGCTGCAGCAATCCCCTAATTATGTAATTGCGACGGCACGATAAGAAAATGGGACAAGAATTCATTAAAGCTGCAGCTCCTCTGCGGTAGTCAATCGTAAAGATATGCTCTTAACTTCGGTGAATGCAGAGCAGCCTCCCTGCTTCATTTATGAGGGGAGGGAGAAACTGGCAGCCTTCCCCAAGGAAGCCGACCACTTCACATTCGCTTTGTAAGGACTACACAGAGCAGCTGCTGACACTGAACTCACAGAATCACAGAATGTTAGGGATTGG